AGTCTTCCTGGGGTGCCTGGGGGGCTCCGTCAGTTGAGCGTCTGCTTAACTTAACAAGGAGCTCTGCATCAAGCTCCTTGCACAGCGAGGTGCCTGCTTCTTCCTCTGCCTCTGCCTGCCACTCCACCTACTTGTGCTTTTCCTCTCTATCTAATAGATAAATACATTTTTTAAAAAGTTAAAAATAGAACTATACCCTACAATCCAGCCATCACACTACTATTTTTGGAAGATATTTTTTGGAAGTTATGAAGTTTTTGGAAGTTATTTACCCAAAGAATACAAAAATGCTAATTCAAAGGGATATGTATGCTGCCTATATATACAATGAAATGTTAGCCATAAAAAGAATGAAATCTTGACATTTGTACAACACTGAGGGATCTAGAGAGTATTATGCTAAGTAAAATAAGTCAGTCAGAGAAAGACAAATACCGTATGATTCTACTCATACGTGGAATTTAAGAAACAAAACAAATAAGCAAAGGGAGAAAAAGGAGAGAGAGAGAGAGGCAAAACAAGAGTAGGCTTTAACTACAGAGAACAAACCGATGGTTAACAGAGGGGAGGTGGAGAGGGATGGGTTCCGTATGTGACGGGGATGGAGGAGTCCGTGTGTCATGATGAGTGCAGGGCGTGCACGGAAGTGCTGAGTCACTGTATCTGAAATTATTATTACTATGTTGACTAACTGGAATTTAAATAAAAACTCAGGGACGTCTGGGTGGCTCAGTCGGTTAAGCGTCTGCCTTCGGCTCAGGTCATGATCCCAGAGTCCTGGGACTGAGCCCAACATCACGTTCCCTGCTCAGTGGGAAGCCTGCTTCTCCCTCTCCCATTCCCCCTGCTGTGTTCCCTCTCTGTCTCTCTCTTTCTGTAAAATAAATACACGAAATCTTTTAAATAAAAAGTAAATCTTTAAAAAAATAATTTCTTTATACCCCTCACTCAGATTCACAAAATTGTAACACTTTGCTCATCAGTATTATTTTTTTCTGAATTGTTTCAGGTAAATTGTATGTATCATGCTCTTTAGCCATTAATACGGATGGTTCCTAGTAATGAGAACATGCTTTTACATCACTGTGTTATCGTTCCTGGAAAAGGTGTGTGTTTTTCTCACACAGGATTCAACTGAGGGTCATGTCTTCACTTGGTGGTGAAGCGTACTTAGTCTCCTTTAACCTCTGAGGACTCTCAGCCTTCCCGTGTTTTCATCGTACTGACAATTCTAAAGACTACAGGCAAGTCATTTTATTGAATACCCCTCAGTTTGGGTTTTTCTGCTGTTTCCTCATGACTGGATTTGGGTTATAAGTTTTAGCTTGAATAGGTCATAATTCATGGTATGTTCTTCTCAGAGTATCATATCTAGAGGCACATAATGTCCATTTCCCACAATTACATGGTCACCATTTCTCTATGTGTAATCAATTAATTAGCTGCGGGGGTTAATTTGAGATCATGTTCACAATTTGTTCCTCAGGAAACTCTCTCCTCTCACCCCAGATTTAGCATCCACTGATGGAATCTGTCTGAGTCAATTCTTACTATGACGACTGCAAAATGCTGATTTCATACCCCCTTACTCCTTTCCTATTTATTAGTCAACATTCTATGGCAGAGGAAAAAAGCTTTCTCCGGGCTCCTGGGTGGCTCAGTCAGTTAAGCGTCCGATTTCAGCTCAGATTATGAGCGCAGGTCATGAGATCGAGCCCTGCATCTGCATCAGGTCCATACCCACAGCCTGCTCAGCGGGGAGTCTGCTTGTTCTCTTTCCCTTTCCGGCTGTCCCTCCCCCTTCCCCACCTGCACTCTGGAGCACGCTCTCTCAAATAAACAAACAAATCTTAACAACAACAACAAAAAAGCCTTCTCTTCTCCTTTATTTACTCATTTATCTATTTTATTAGTTGAAAGGACTAACGCACTGTTCTACTCCACCCGTTACACTCCACTTATCGTCCTTACGCGATACTCAAATTTGGCCAGTAGAAATCCACAGAAGCTGACTTCTCGGTCTTTGACATGTCCCTGGATTTTGGGACGTCCTTCTTTTTCCTGCTCCAGCCCCTGAATCAGTCTTTTCTCCAAGGAACCCTTGAGCTCACTTTGGTGAGGACTAGTATTTAGAATCTAAGGTCTGGGTGGAAAAATTGGTATGTTAATTCTAAAAACAGAAAAGCTATCCCTCCCACAAGCACTGCCTTCACGTAATGCCTGCCCTGCCGTCAGATGCGCGCAAGAGTCTGCTCAGGTCGGCAACGGTCTACTTGAGCTGTAAAGGGAAAGGGCTTTCAAAATGTACATAAGAGTATTCCAACTTGGCCAACCACGACTTGCTCTGGGAGCTACACTAGCTCACCCAACCTTACTTTGGAAATTTAAAAACTGTGAGTAGACTCTCCGAGTTTACTCAGAATCAAGCTATTCCATTAACCTTCTCTGAAGGGCATCCAAGTCTTAACAAGGTATTAAATATTCTTCAAACTCCTTAGAAGGCTACATTTATGTTCTGTTTACCACCGACCTCTACCTCGGTGCCTTGGTGTAAGAGCTTTCTTTCATGCCACCAACAGAAGCAAGAAAAATATCAAGAGCGAAAGCATCATGTATTAATAAAGCAAAGAATACAGAACAGAAAAGGCCTATTTTAGCTGAGACTCAATAAATGAAAACCACATTTAGTATAGGCTAACTTTATCCACAGGCAAAGACCAAATAATCAGCCTGAAATGCGAAGTTCACCTGGCAAAGTTGCATAAGCAGGCTACAAACATCAAATAGGGTCTTCTTGTCTAATACACACACATCAGTTTTTTTCAGTACTTTGAGGTCTTTATCTTCCTATGCTTTCTGTAGAACAAAGCCAACTAAAGATTAAAAATCCCAGGTAATAATCTACCATTTGAAAAGAAAAGAAGCTAAGAAGTATACCAATACAATTTTTAAAAATAAAAACAACTTAGAACTTTTAAAGTACGGATCTTTCATAAATAATGCACATTGCACAGACACTCTTAGGACACCATTTTTTAGAAGTACCAAGGACAGTCACCCAATGTACATAACTATTATGCACTTAAGAACAGAGACCTCACCATCTTTCCACAGATATAGACACAGATACAGTTACACACACACCCACACACACACACACCTTACTAGAGATCAAGGGATATAGTGGAAAAAAACGGAACCAGGAGTTAGGAGACCTGAGTTCTAATATACCAACTAACTCTATGACCTTGAGTCTGTTACTTTAAAGAAGCAGAGCCACTGGTTTTTAGCTTCTTTACTGTTTCATATTTCACTATATTTGACCATTTCCCTGTATATCATAATTTCATAAGGTTAATGAGACTTTCCCAAAGCAAGAAACAGAATTTAAGCTTACTAGGAAGGAGCAGCTTTAATACCGCTGTGCTCCGTGCTAGCACTGCTTATTCTACCAGAAAAACAACCCATATTTTTCTCCCTAACATTTACCGGAGACATATCTGTCAGGTATTGTTGCTGAACTCTTTTTAACTGCATCGCCTCATTTGATTCTTAAGACATACCTCCAGCAGGTATTACTATCTCCTCAGGACAGCTCAAGGTCACGTCGGCTAGTAAACCACAGAACTGAGACTCAAAACAAGGGGACTCCAAAGCTTACGCAGCCCCCTACCTACCTCCTAATAAATAACCATGAGCCAAATTTATCCTTAATTTAATCTTTAACAGGTGCTAATTATTCCCTTTCTAATTACAGTAGAGAAAACCACCATGAATGACAGCCAACCAAGAAACAACGCCAAATTAATTATGTGAACAAAAAGATTACTCCAAGGTTTGCTTTTATTGGGACACCTGGGTGGCTCAGTCAGTTAAGTGGCTGCCTTCAGCTCAGGTCATGATCCCAGGGCCCTAGGATCGAGTCCCACACTAGGCTCCTTGCTCAGCAGGGAGCCTGCGTACCCCCTCTGCAGCTGCTCCCCCTGCTCAGACATTTGCCTCTCTCTCTGTGACAAATTAATAAATAAAATCTTAACAACAACAAAAGGTTTGCTTTTATTAAAGAGAAGGGCTATGTTTTGGGTAATAAGCAACCTTTCCTTCTAACAAAACAAAACAAAACAAAACATGACTCATTAAATCTGAAAGGCCAGCAAGGATCTTAAGGTGTGATATTGTTACTCAAATACAGAAACAAAACAAAGAACCTCCTGACAAGTCCCTCAGGTGGTGGGGTTTGCGGGGGAGACCATCTCTTGCCATGGTCTCCACTACCATTTCAAATCTCCTGCCGAGCTCCAATAACCAACACTGATCACCACTAAGACTAAGCCCTCCCAACAGACCGTCCTCGCTTGCAGCTAGGCCGCGTCCGCTGCCCTCCAATGACCCACAGAACACATGTAACGTTAGTGACAGTCCTTTCACGGGTATTGAGGTTTAAGAAGCAGATGAAAGAGATAATGCACAGACAAATCCACGTGCTAGAAAATACCTACATGGCTCACTTTCACCCTCCAGAAGCCCAAAGCAAGCCTCTTCCTCTGTGTTCTCTATGTAGGTCTTCATGAAGCAAGCTGTCCCTCAAGCGCTCAGAAAACCTCGTTTACCTACTTTAAGCCCAGAGACAGTCATTTCTGATAAGGGACGTTTAGTAAGGATATTATACAAGGAGAATAGACCAGAATCCAAAAATTAAAGGCACAAAAAAATAAAACATCCAAAAAGATATACATTTGGATGGTAATGTATTTTATAAACAAAATTACATTTTTGTAGTCCTACAGAGTAATAAACAAGCTTCTCCAACACACAGTGTCCTCCAACTAAAGACGACTTTTGGTTTTATGTATTATCTGATCCTTAAACCCCATTTCAGTTTCAAATCTGGGTTGGTACGTCCTGGATGCTTGCAGAAATTGAAAAGCAGAGCCCACATGCACTGTGGGTCTACTCTGCATCTCACTTGAGCACGGAGGAAAAAAAGATCAGAAAATTACCCTTTTTTGATCCAACCCTGGACGAAGCACTGAAGAATTTCTTTACTGTGGTCACTTTGCGGGTCTTCTCATTGGTTTTCTTTTCTTCAAACTTGGAAAATGTGAGGGACTGGGCCCCTTGGTTGCTCTGGCTGCTGGCAAAGGCCTCTTCCTCCTCCCGCTGAAGTCTGCAATTTAAGAGAGGATTGAGAACCAGCCAGACGGCCTCCATGTTCCTTGTATCTGAACTGCAGGAGGGTCTAGAAGTTTTAAAACTGGAGGCTAAACACACCAAGCAGGTCTGAGGTGTATGATAGGAAACTGTCCCATACACGATTCAAAAGGGACCTTCTCCGTGGATATTCATTTAGCAACTGTAACTAAATGTAACTAAGGTTACATAAAATAACTAAACTCTACTTTCCACTAACAACCTCAAGGCTGAAAAGGAGAGAGTAAGTAATTACCATACAACGTGACAGCTCCTACCGTAGAAAGGGAAACCCAACTGCTACGAGAACATAGGGAAGAACAACTTAATCTGCTAGAGAAGTCCGAGGTTTTACAATGGTGACATTTAGGTTTATCTTTTTTTAAAAATTTTATTAACATATGATCGATTATTTGCTCCAGGGGTACAGGTCTGTGAATCGTCAGGCTCACATTCACAGCACTCACCACAGCACATACCCTCCCCCATGTCCATAGCCCAGCCACCCCATCCCTCTCACCCCCCACCTCCAGCAACCCTCAGTTTGTTTCTTGAGATCGAGTCCCTTATGGTTTCTCTCCCTCCCCGGTCCCACCTTGTTTCATTTCTTCCCTCCCTTCCCCCCGTGATGGAATATGACAGGTTGATCTGAAGAGATGAACAAGGTTCCCCTAAGTGAAAGGGCATTCCAGGGAGAGGGAACGACAAACGTGAAGGCCTGTGGTTTCTTCACGGACTAAGTTGGTGAAGTTACTGATGGTGTGACCAGATGGTAAGAAAGCCCGAATGCCAGTCCGTTAGAACCCTACATTTCACAGTGCGGTGGCGAACCAAGAATGGCCGTAAATCCAATAAATTACCATTAGGAGATCTGTGCTTCAGAAAAATACAGCAGGGAGCTATGTTATAACCTGAGGAGCAATAATTAATTAATTAAATATTTATACAAAGATTTAAGTGAGAGAAAATAAAGACCAGGAAACTAAAAAAGGGTGAAATTCTAAGGACTTCTCTGAGCTGAGTAAGTCCTACCTATCGCTCAGTGATAGCCAGCAGCATCACCTGGGAACTTGTTAGAAATGCAAATTCTCAGAGTTCACTCCCACCTCCTCAAGTCAGAGACTCTGAGGAGAGGTCCAGGGATGCCTCTTTTTATAAGCTTTCCAGGTAATTCTCAAGCTTGCTCAAATCTGAGACACAGCGCTGCAGGAAGTCTCAAGCAAGGTCACAGAGGGAAGGAGTAAGAAACAGCAAGGAAGTCACAAGCAGAAGTCCTGGGCTGAGCGTGGAACTGGGACACGCCTCTCTCTCAGACAAAACCGAATTAACATAAAGATAGTAGTGCATTTTGCAATGGAGAGGGGATAAAGCTAAGGGAATTCATGCCTACTGACCTCTACTGAAACCAGGTGAAACAGGCAATGTTCTTTGTCTACATCTTCTGTCTCTGACCGCAGAGTCGCTGACAGCAGTGGGCATGCGCTGTCATTCTGAGTTCACCACAAACGCTAGCGAAGTGGTCACTCAACATACACATGGCTGATTAGACACACATAAAAACTAACAAAAGTTGTCCGAGTTCAGTCTGACTTTCTTTTATGGAGAAGTTTTACTGTTTCTAGGATGTTCTGGCAAAAGATTAACATCATGCGTGGTGTTTTATCCATCCCTGTGCTCACCAGCCATTCCATCTTCTACCACAGTCCTCTGGGTAATATAAACCACTTTTCACTAACAAACCCCATTTTAAAGAAAAGGTTAAATTTCCAAAATGCAAGGGCCATGTATACAAATCAACAAGTTTCCACTAGTGTTTATCACCATGTCAGATGCCACGCTAGATATATTACAAGAATGAGGAAAAGGATGTTTGGTGAGAGCCACATGCCGAGAACTGTGCTAGGGACACCCCAGATATAGCCACAGTTAACCTGCACTATCAAGTGTGTGTTTTGCATTCCTCCAGTCCCAGAAGCCTATTATCTACATGAGAGAACTCAGACTAACGCACTCTAAACATAAGTAATTACGGGACAAAGACGAAAATAAATAAATCACTGAAAGCTATTCATTAAATACTGACTAAGAAGAAAAGGGTAAAAAAATTCAGTTCTCTTAGTATTAAGCCGACGTGCTGATAGCTCGCAAGAGGAGAGAAAAGTGGATTCTGACAGTGGCGGAACTGCACATCCAACCGTTTCCCAGTTAAACACCCCTCTTTAGTCCTTTTACCGCTCTGCCAGTTCCCAGTCCTCCTGAATCTGCTTCTGCCTTGCTTTGTGGTACTCTTCCCTCCAGCACTTGGAGCAGAAACCCTGCCAAGCAGGGTTGCCATAGTAACCACATCCTTTCTTGCACAGGAGCTCAGACTGATCGACATGAATCCCTCGGCGTTCAGACTTAAGGCTCATCTTCTTCCTGCTAATCAAATAAATAAGAAGGTGATGTTGCAAATGAAGTCACTATCATTCTTCTATCAGCACAGCAATGAACAAAAATGTGTCCACAATCTTCAAGCTATGAGGGAGGCAGGCAGGCTGAGAGGGAGGGAAAAAGAGTTTAAATAGAACAGGTTCCTGGGGTACCTGGGTGGCTTGCCTGGTGAAGCATGAGATCTTGATCTCGGGGTTGTGGGTTTGAGCCCCACATTGGGTGAAGGGATTACTTAAAATCTGGAAGGAAGGAAGGAAGGGAAGAAGGGAGGAAGGCTGGTCCTGACACAGTTACTAAAGAAAACACTTTATCCTTCTCAATGATATAAGGAACACTTTAAGAAAGGACTTATAGATTGGGGCACCTGAGTGGCTCAGTGGGTTAAAGCCTCTGCCTTCGGCTCAGGTCATGATCCCAGGGTCCTGGGATTGAGCCCCGCATCCGGCTCTCTGCTCAGCACGAGCCTGCTTCCTCCTCTCTCTCTGCCTGCCTCTCTGCCTGCTTGTGATCTCTCTCTGTCAAATAAATAAATAAAATCTTTAAAAAAAAAAAAAAGAAAGGACTTATATTAGATTAAAAACCTAAATGTGACACATGAACCTATAAAACTCCTAGAAGAAAACATAAGGAAAAAACTTCATGACATCAGATTTGGCAAAAATTTCTTGGATATGACACCAAAAGTAAGGTAAGCAACAAAAGGAAAAATAGGCAAATGTGACTGTATCAAATGTAAGCATGGCAGAAGAGGTCCGGCAGAGGGAGAGGGAGAAGCAGACTCCCTGCCAAACAGGGAGACCAACGTGGGGCTCGATCCCAGGACCCTAACTAACATCATGACCTGAGCTGAAGGCAGACGCTTAATGGACTGAGCCACCCAGGAACCCTGGTAACAAACGTTTTTAACAACATTATCCACAATAGCCAAAAGGTGGAAATAACCCCCCCAAAAAGTCCACCAACTGATAAATGGATAAACAATTGTAGTATATCCATACAATGGATTTTACTTGATGAAAAAAAGGAATTAAGTATTAATATATGCCACAAGATCAACCTTGAAAACATTATGCTAAGTTAAAGAAGTCAATGATAAAAGAACACATCTTATATGACTCCCTTCATATGAATGTCCAGAATCTATGAAGGTAAATCTATAAAGACAGAAAGCAGGTGAGCAGCTGCTTAGGACTAAGGGGCAGGTGGTGGTGGGGGGGGGAATGGGAATAAAGGAAACAGCTAAAGAGTATGAGGTCTTTCTTTTGAGATAATGAAGATAATGAAAGTATTTTAAAGTTGGCTGTCATGATGGTTGCCACTGAATTGGTTGACCTTTAAATAGCTGAGTTCTGTGACATGGAAATGATGTACCTAATAAAGCTGTTCTTAAAATACAGGTATAGGGTGATCTGGGTGGCTAAGATGGTTAAGCATCTGCCTTTGGCCCGGGTCATGATCTCCAGGTCCTGGAATCGAGCCCCAGGTCACGCTCCCAGCTGAATGATTCTGCTTCTCCCTCTCCCTCTGCCCCTGCTTGTGCTCCCTGTGTCTCTGTCTCTCTCTCTCTCTCAAAAATGAATAACATCTTAAAAATAAAAAAATTAATAAATTAATTAATTACAGGCATATTTTGGAGATATTGTAGGTTGGGTCCCAGACTATAATAAAGCAAACGTCGCAATAAAGTGAGTCAAATAAATGTTTTGGTTTCCCAATGTATGTAAATGTTAGGTTTACACTATACTGTAGTCTATCAGGTGTTTAATAGTATTATGTCTAAAAAAAAAAGTACATCTTCAATTAAAAATACTTTATTGCTAAAAAAAAAGAAAACCTTTATCGCTAAAACCTACTAACCACCATCTGAGCTTTCAGCGAGTTCTAATCACGGACCACAGATACCGTAACAAGTAATAATGAAATCATTTGAAGTATTCAAGTATTACCAGATCTTATGACACAGAAACACAAAGTGAGCAAATGCTGTTGGAAAAATGGTGCCAACAGATTTGTTCAGTGCAGGACTGACTTACACCTTCAATTAAAAAAAAAATGCAGTATTTGTCAAACTCAATAAAGCAAAGTGCAAGGAAACAAGGTATACCTGTCAAAATCAGGAAGGAAGGCAGAGTGGGAAGTCAGATTCAAAGAACTATCAGCTTCGATGGTGGACAGACTATAAGCCAAGGAATGTGGGTGGCGTCTGGAAGCTGTGAATAACCCCTCGCTGACAGCCAGCAAAGAAATGAAGACCTCAGTGCTATAATTGCATGGAACTCAATTCTACCAGCATGAGTGTGTCTGGAAGCAGATTTTCTCCACAGCCTCTAGGTAAGAGCCCAGGCTGGCTGACTCCTTAATTCTGACCTCTGGAGATCCTTAACAGAGTACCCAACTGGAGCGAGAGTCCTCACTCACAGAACTTAGGGATAATAAACGGGTGTTCTTCCAGGCCGCTAAATTTATGGCAGTATGTTATGGCAATGACAGAAAACTAACACAAGCCTCCTTTCCATTAGTCTTCTTGGGGGCCTTTGCCTTGTGTTCCAGTGTCTAGAATGCTGTGCACCCTGCTGTTCGCACGGGGAATACTTCTAATATGAAGGCCGCCAGCTTCCAGAAAGGCCTCCGCCGGCAACTCTATCTCAAGTAGCACCTCTCCAACCTCCCCACCCTCACCTCCACACTGGCTCAGCATTGCTTCTCTCCATCCTACACAGGTCTAACAAGGGAGGGAAAGGAAAGAGTTAACCACGCAGAATAAATTGCTAAAAAACAATTAAGCACATTCTCAGAAGGGCCTGCTTATTATGTGACTGGCTCTTGGTCAGCTTCTAGGGGAATGGAGGTCTTGGAAGTGTCCTTGTGTTTTGTATGCTCGGAGCTTCAAGCCGCACTATTCCAACGTGTTTCGACAGCTCATGCAAACAGTGATGTACGGCGAGCACCTGCTGTCTTTCTGGGGGGTCTGGAGTTGCATTAACCTTGGTCGGTCCTGAAGGCAGTCCTGCCTGTTTGACCAACCTTCAATAAAAACCCTGGAATTCAAAGCTTAAGTGAGTTTCCCCGAACAGAAAAAACATCTCACATATGTTGCTACAATTTGTCGCTGGGGGATTAAACACACCCTGTGTAACGTCTCCGCTGGAAAATGACTTGGAAGCTCATGCCCAGTATCCTCCAAATAAATAAATTTTATCTTATTTATAAATAAATAAATTTGTCTCTGTCAAGTAAATAAATAAAATTAAAAACAAACAGTCCTGTGAGTTCTTCTATCAAATTACCAAACCTGGGGGCAGTCTTGGGGACTACTGACACAGGCTATGATTATAAAGGGGTGGCATGAGGGAGATCTTAGTGGTAACAGAACAGTTCTGTATCTGGACTATGGTGGTAGTTACAGGAATCTACATACACGATAAAAAAAAATGCCACAGAACTGCTAAACATGCACACAGTACAGAAATCAATTTCTCGGTTCTGATGTTGTACTACGGTTATGTAAAATGCAGCCACTGGGACAACCTGGTAGCGTACTACAGCATCCCTCTGCATTATCTTTGCAATTTTCTGTTAATCTGTAATTTCAAGTTAGGGAGTTATTAAAAATTCCACTTAAAAATTCAAATAACACTTATGATCGAACCAATGTGTATCAGACAGTTAAGCACATCACTCCGATTATTTCTAAATATGGAAAACAAAGAGCGCAAGTGAACCTCCAAAGTACACGCCATGATTTGAAAGGCTATCACGTGGTGATGATAGCTCTGTTTCAGGTACATTCAACACACCTAGATTAGATATCAGAGCTATGTAAGCAGCATATACTCTTCAGTTAGGGAAAAACACAAGGGGGATCAACTGCCTGAGACTCGATTCTGTCTTTCCCACCCCAAAAGACCTATCCCTCATTAGTAAAGCCATAATCCAGAGGCAAGTTACTACACCCAGGAGGAAGGTGAGGGGGCACATCAGTCCAGTAAAAATACGCTTTTACTGAACAACCTGGGCATACAGAATGCATAATTCAATTGACCCATTCACATTAGGGAAGAGAGAGTAAGAATTATCTCTATTTCTGAGACAGTTGAGATTCCTGTGAATTCTGCTCCAGAACTAGGATTCAATCTGGGTTGAGGTACCCCCCAAAACAAGGGCCAGAGGAGGTATGTCCGGGTGGTTCAATCAGTTAAGTGTCTGATCTTGGTTTTGGCCCAGGTCATGATTTTTTTAAGATTTTATTTATTTATTTGACAGAGATCACAAGTAGGCAGAGAGGCAGGCAGAGAGAGAGGAGGAAGCAGGCTCCCCACTGAGCAGAGAGCCCGACGGGGCTCAATCCCAGGACCCTGGGATCATGACCTGAGCTGAAGGCAGAGGCTCAACCCACTGAGCCACCCAGGCACCCCTACAGGTGCTCTTTTTTATGTTATCTTTTAGTTCTTGACTTTATATTATGAAGACATTATCACCATTTTAATCAGACAATATTTAAAATCCATATCCGAATTTCACTGACTTTTATATTATTAACTACATTGCTTCCAAAATGAATGTAAGTATCACACTGAGGGGGCTCCTGGGTGGCTCAGGGTACAGCATCAGACTCTCACTTGGCTCAGGTCATGATCTCAGGTTCGGGAGACAAGCCCAGCCTCAGTCTCCAGCGTCGTCAGGCTCCAGCGTCCGCCTGAGATTCCCGGTCCACCTCCCTCTGCCCCTTCCCTGCCGGGGCTCATGCTCTCTCTCTCTCACAAATTAATAAATAAATCTTTAAAAAAAATATATCACCCTGAGAATCAGTGGCAGAGTTCCAACGTTAAATTTAACAAAACCAAGTATCCAAACACTAGCCTGCCCACTTCGAAATCAACCCATGAAGATAAAGGGAGTTTATGCTGCGGAAGAGCAGAGCAGCATTCTTACGGGGCGGGGGCGGGCCCCGACAACAATCTCCCGCTGTGCGGAGCTGAAGTCGCACC